AAGCGCATTGAAGATAACACCTACGTGTCTGGCTTGCTTTAGATATGTCAATAAGGTGTACGGATCGCCCTAGTTATTTCAATATGTAAATGCCGTAGTTTAATTTAGAATTCGATTTGTGAATATTCATTTCGACTACAATTTGGAAAGTGATTCATTCAGTATTTCTTGTTTGTAAATCCATTTAATAAATTTTATTCAGACCTTTGCTATGTAAATTAAAAATTACAGTGCCGATACTCCCATTTTAAAGTAAATGTAAAACGTAAAACCCATTTAATTGTCAGGCAATTCTAAAATAGAGGGCTGGTTGTAATTGGCAATCGATAGTGTCTTCTCCGGGTTCTGCTGGAAAATAAAAATAAAATTAAATGACCCTGACACAGGGACATAAAAATAAATCGATTATACATTAGATCGCTACCTCCCCATGTATTTTTAATAAGTATACTGTTCGAATTTGAAGGACGTTCGGGTAATGGGGATGGCTGAAAGCGAATATACACAATACTAAATCTATAGTACAACACAATTCAGTAAAATGTAGATACATTTATGCACGCACTATGCGTAGGGTGATTCACAACTTCCAGAAAACGCCATTAAAAATATAATCAATATCACCAAAGTTTATAACAATACTTTGACATATTTCGAGACATAAATTGTGTTTTATGGTAAGACAAAATGCACTAGTAATGTCTCGATTGGCCAAATGCTGCTCCTTTTACTCCACGGTGGTTCAACAAGGGTGTGAAGGGGACGTTCACGACCAAAATGTGGAAGAGATGGAAGTCGTAAACATCCGCAACATATTACTGCAGTCGAGGATCAAATTTTAAATATTGCGGAAGAATGTACAAGGCAAATTTTTCGATGGAGTGTCCCAATCAGCAGTGTGGAGGATATTACACGATGTTCAAATGTATCCCTATAATGTTCAGCATATCCAAGCATTAGCATCAGCAGATTGCCTGTTACTGGTTGGACTGTGTGTATTTCCGTCTTACAAATGATGCGTTAGTTAAGATGAAGCTGTGTTTGTACGAAATTTAATAAATAATGTTCACAATACTAATGTCTGGGGATTTGAAAATCCTCATGCGAATCAACGGGATCACTTCTAGCGCCGTTTTTCTTCGAATGTTTGGGTAGGAATTGTAGTTTATCTATCATCATCCATTAACCAAATCGACTGGATGTTTTTTTTAAATTATCTGCCTGGACTTCTCGAACATGTGACCTTAGTAGTTCGAAAAAATATGTGGTTCTTGCACGACCGTGCGTCTTCCCATTTTTGACAAAATATTCGATATTGCTTTAATGAAGTTGAAGGACTGTGGAATAGACTAGGACGACCGGTAACATGGCCACCACGATTTCCTGACTTAAACTCTGTAGAATTTGTTTATGGGGACATGTAAAAAGCGAGAAGAAGAAGCATTAGGTCCGTCAAAACCGGATTAAACGTGCCCAAATGGGTTTACGAGTCGGTGGACAAAATTTTGAATAGTTGTAACATCAATTAAATACTTATATTTCCATTAAAATACGCATTCACATTTTCTGATACATTGAACAAGGGATAACAATAATAAAAACAGTAATTGAATTCGCTAAAACAAAATGTTGTGATAAGTAAAAGTTGTGAATCTTCCAGTATACAGGGTGTTCTCAAAGTTGAGTCATTTATATTTACAGCTGGTAAAAAAGTCGATTTACCAAAAATCGTTTATATAAAAGTTGCAGAAGAGAGTTATAAAAATCCTGTTCTACAAAAATTGTTCAAAATTGTTACCATTTGTTTACCATTTATGTATGTCATGTCGAAAATGACAATAAGTCAGGTTTGTATTATAAAGTTTTTAAATTTCAATTTTTTTAAACAATTGTTAATAATTGCTTTATTTAGCAACTTTTATATAAACGATTATTGGTAAATCGACTGTTTTACGAGTTCTACCAGCTGTTAAAATAAATGACTCAACTTTGAGAACACCCGATATAATTAAAGAGCATTTTAAGGAAAAAGTTGCCTCATATCGTATATATTACTTGCATCAGAAGTCTTTTGTTTATTCATTTAACACTAGAACTTAACCTAAAATCAATTTCGAGTGTGTATTCTTTAAAATGCAGTATCATCGACAAACCTAAGAATCATAGCCATCGTATCTAGTGATAATATACTGTTTGTATAGATAGTGAAGGGTACTGGACCTAAAATGGTTCCTTGTAGAACACTACATGGGGTTAATTCATAACTTCGTGTAAATTAGCATGGTGCTCTCTGTTTGTCAAACAGTTCTTTAGCAGGCTAAGTATTTTCCCCTTTATGCCAATAATTCAACTCGTCAACAATATTGTCGAATGCTTTGGATAGTCAAGGAAATTACCGGCAAGTAGATTTTTTTTTATAGAGGTGTAAATTTGGAGATTTGAGTAGAATACTTACTAAAGCATTTTCAATAACCAAAATGGATGAAACTGCGAAACGATGCATAAAATTAACAATAATCAAGTGTTACAATTTATTGAGAACCTCTGGCTGGATTCGTTTACTGTAGTTTTTTGTAGTACACAGAAAAAATGCTAGTTCGGTTGTAAGTTATCATCAGTTCTACTTTAGTTCTCATAACCGAAACTGTATTTTACTGTTTCAGGTTTAAGCAAAATTATAGGAATGAATGAGTCATTCTTCATTTTTTACTTTTAACTAATCCTGAAAAGATGTCTGGAGTGTATTTGTGTACATTGCGCATGTATTAATAATTGTGAATAGACAACCAAAATAACCTATCAATATACTTAGTAACAATGAGTTAATGTACACGATGGTAACATATAGATTGGCTGATGAAAACACATGAGTTAATTGCACATCTTTATGTACCGCAATTTGTAGAAACATGTTTGAGCTGTCGATGGAGTCAGTGGTTCCAAAAATGTTTCTTCGTATTATAGTGGTAAGTCAGCAGATATTAGAAATAAATATTTTGTTCGCAAAAAATATTTCTAACAATCGAATCATCGCACCTCGATGTATTTACTGTTGATATATCTTCTCCAAGTTTTCAAACACCCTGTATAAGGTAATAGAACTAGATTTACATTAGATATTTCTTCTAATGGTCTGCTCTTTATCAAGTCATACTGTTTTCCTTGCTTTCACTTCAAACTATTTGATAGTGTGCAAAAACACCGTGTTTTCTAATATTTTGTACCTATTATTGAATAATGTGTTAATAATAATGTTTAATTAGATATAAAAGCAATTTTTAAAATGATTACTGTCGAATATATTAAAATAATAGCATCCTGTTTCTAAAAAAAAGTTCGTTATATAGTGTCATGTTATCGATGTCATCTAGGCAACTTTTGCTATTATACATTTTTAACAATCGGTTCCTTTCATCAAACTTTGCCTCCAATTAAAAATAAATCTGCAAGAAAACATTTTACTAATACATGATAACGAGCAGAAAGGCTTTTAAAACGTCAACAAAATGGTCATATAAATATTCATATTCAAATCAGGTAGTTTATTTATATCTAACCCTTCTATTTTCGTGCAATATACTTTTATCAATATAAATAAATAAGTAAAACTATATTTTTCAGACAAAATACTTTTGGAAAAGGACAGTTTGTCGTTGGTGCTAAAAAAAATACATATATACATGCCTCAAATGAACAAAAAATGGTAAAAGCAAGCAGAAATAATCAGTTTAAAGCAAGGAAAGTGAAGTTCTAGATTATTAGGAGGAATCTTTTGGGGCCAATCATACCACTACCACCTATACTACAAGGTTTTAGATCTAAAGCTCTTACTTCTTTGTTTAGTGACGTCACTACTCGTATTTTTAGCCCCTAATTTTACATTTAACAGAAATCGATCGCTCTTTATTAGCTTAATTTAATTATTTCGGCAATTGTTACAATTGTTATGCTATAAAATTTTACATATAATTGTTGTGTGTAATAATGTATTGCTGCGAGCTACCTATCTCTATGAAATGACGTCACGTGCCTTGTTAATAAGGCCTTAGGCAGTCATGGCAATACTTACAGGGTGATTCACAACTTATCCAAAAAATGCGTCATGAAAATGGAGTCAATATCGCAAAAATTTTTTTTTTTAAATCCTTATAGTTTCCGAGAAAAAAAAATTGAAGTTGTAGTATTTTCAACCTTTACATTGCTGGACTATGTAGTAGTAGCAGTGTTGTACGCTGTGAACAATGCATTCTCTCGCCACGTGGTCCCAGACGATTCTGAATATTGAAATCCGATGTTGATATTTACGTCTTCCCGATAGTGTTTACATTAGTTTTTGAAATGCAGAAAATGGTTGACGTGTATCAACCTGGGAGTTGATGGACAGCGTTTTAATTTACTGTAAAGCAAGTGTTATAGTAAAGCATTTGTGTCATGATGAAGCAAGACAACATTTATTAATTAATAATAACAATAGCTTTCACTGGGAAAGAAATTCTTTAAATTTTTTGTTCATACATTTTTTATTAGACTTTGCCGCCGTGCTGGTCGCCAACTGTATGCTTTGCCTTGCGTAAGGTCAGCTTTTACAGTGGACCAGTTTCCAGTACGGTGCAGAACTTCAAAAAATTTTATTTTGATAAGTTCTGAATCACCCTGCATAGGAATTTATTCTTTTAAGGAAGCGAACAAAATTTCTCTTTTACAGGCAGACATTACGTCTCTGCTACATCACAAATTCCATATTTTACGTTCTACATCCCAAATTTTGTCCGCCCTCTCTGAGGCGCTTCTCGAAACACAACTACACACATATCAAGACAGCCTCCCCTAAATCTAGGATGCAAGAAACAAAAGAAAAATAAAACGAGGCCTGTTGCATCGAAAGCAACAAACGTAGCGCTAGCGGGGCGGGGTGGGGTACATCAAAGGACTAGCTGGGGACAAAGCGGGGCGTAGCGGTAGCAGGGTGAGAAAAAAAGTAAGCTTTAATTCTCACTCACCAGAGCTTGAGCGGCCGCTTGGTGCTGGAAACAATGAAGCACACATTTAGTACACACAAAACAGAGAATATCCGCGGGTAAGAGAAAGTTGATGGGCTAATGGCGCTGGAGGAATGCTTAGAGTGCAGTTTACAAGCGATCCCGGAGTACAACAGTGGTTCTCAAAATGTGTATCGCTTTACTTTGAATTCATTATGATAGTGGAGGGACAGGGTGACGCAGAAATAGTTCTCAAAATGTGTATCGCTTTACTTTGTATTCATTATGATAGTGGAGGGACAGGGTGACGCAGAACTGATGTTTACAGGAAAATGGAAAGAGTAAATAGAAAACCGCAAGTGGGGATCTTTATGGCATGACGACATTATTTGAATTAAAATTCTATATTGGTAAGTTTATTATTCTAAAAACTGTGGTGTCATTGAAATTATTTTCGCAATTTCATAAACATTTTCTTACATTGTGCTCAACAATTTTTGTTTAAAAAATGTTTTGATGTACCTCTTCCTTTACAAAAGATATAAGACGATATGTTCAGATAAAAATACTGATTCGAACAAGTCTGTTACTGATTCTGTCAGAGTCAGCAAAAATTACACAGGGCACAAAACTTGACGAAAGGTCACACCCAAAAATCAGACCTCACTTGCCTAAAGGTTTTTGGTGCGCAGAATCCAAATCCGGTGTCAGAATTCCTTCTATACGTCACGTTTTCGGGATATCATAACCTAAAAGTGCAAAAAACAGATTTTTTTGCTATATCTGAGCGTATATCACAGAGACAATTTTTTTTTCCTAAAAACGAATCATGCCGTCTAAAACTACCATTCTTACCCTTCAAAACGCTTTTTCAGATTTGAAAAATCTTTTTTATTCGCGGAGATATCACTGAATGAAGTTAGGTACTTTAGCGTTTTTATAACAGTGGTACTAAAATCGAAAAAAGTTCTTCAGAAAGCGGATATTTACATGTTTTTTGGGTCGCTCAATGCGAATCTGACCTCCAAATTATTCTATTCTATCACTTTAGAATTCTGAGATTTCCTAACCTAACACTGCAAAATAATTTTGAGGTCAGATTCGGATTGGGCGACCCAAAAAACATGTAAATATATTACTTCTGAAGAACTTTTTTCAATTTTAGTACCACTGTTATAAAAACACTAAAGTACCTAACTTCATTCAATGATATCTCCGCGAATAAAAAAGATTTTTCAAATCTGAAAAAAGCGTTTTGAAGGGTAAGAGTGGTAGTTTTAGATGGCATGATTCGTTTTTAGAAAAAAAAAATTTCGCTCTGTGATATAAGCTCAAATATAGCAAAAAACGTGTTTTTTGCACATTTAGGTTAGGATATCTCGGAAACGTGACGTATAGGAGCAATTCTGACGCCAGATTCGAATTCTACGCACCAAAAACCTTCGGGCTAGTGAGGTCTGGTTTTTGGGTGTGAACATTGTTGCCTGTGTTATTTTTGCATAAATTTACATTTACTAAAAAAATTTAATACTCATATTATTTTTGAGACAGCTCAGGAAGATTCTAAATTAGCAGTAACAGACTTGATCGAAATAGTGTTTTCTCCAAAAATATAATTTTATACCTTTTGAAAAGATATCGAAAAACTTTTTTAAGAGGGCTCTATAGCAAATAGGCAACCAGCAATACATTTTTATAGATTTTATTACACAGTTTGTCTAAATATGAATTAATAACAGACTTTCCTCCATTTTAACTAAGATTTTCAATAAAATCGAGTTAGTTTGAAACTCAAATTGCTTTTTGCGGTAAAGAAATTTGTAATTTAAGATGCTGCTTGTTCAAAAGCGGCAAATTACAAATTTCTTTACAACAAAAAGTGATTTGAGTTTCAAACTAACTCGATTTTATAGAAAATCTGCGATAGAATGGAGGACAGTTTGTTAGTTGTGCATTAATTCATATTTAGACAAATTGTATAATAAAATCTATAAAAATGTATTGCTGGTTGTCTATTTTCTATAGAACCCTCTTAATAAAAGTCATTGAGAAAACTGATAACTTTTGTATGATGTAAAAAAATATGTGTGAAATTTCGAAAAATAGTTTCGATGACGCCATAGGGATAAACTAACCAAGATGGAACTTTAAGTCAAATACTTCTAAGATCCCCGCCTTCGGAATTCTATTTGCTATTTCCGATTTCTTGTAATGGGGACCAACCATCAGTTATGGGTAACCTTGCATATGATACATGAGACATATCTACAGTATATCTATATCTCAAACCAATCCTCTGAAATGGGCAAGAATATCTGTACTTTCTTTAAAGACAGTCCTTACTAGAAAAATTTGAGAACCACTGGCACGTATTGTATTGCGTTGGTGCTCAAAAGTAACATACAAAAATAATTTTTTATTTATAAAAGTTTAAGCGAAATGTTTGGAGCTCCCCATTACATTCGTTGTATGAAACAAATGTAAGAGTAAAAGCCGTAGGAAACTTTATCATTTTTTTTTAATGCCCATATCCCAAAAACAGTTAAACATCATTTTGAATGTGGGTGAGATATAACGTACCAAGCGTTGCTTTATACCTACTGTCAGAGAGTGAGCTACTAATGTGTAGGTGCTATGAAAGCAAGATGTGTAGCATTAGGCGAAATGAAGTTTTTAACTAATGACATTGAGAGGAACAACTATTCTGCAGACTAAAGTCCCATCCAGCATTGAATTGCAATATTTAGTAAACAGTCGGTAGAATCACCAGACAGACTGGTTACAGTCAAGCCGACTGATAAATGATCTGGATGCTTATCTGCCAACATGTTTTGACAGCAGGTGATACTCCAATAGAGTGTAACCCATGTTTTAGATAGAAACAGCTTTGTAAAAGGGATATTTATTGTATAATTCGCTTTTTCTAATAGAGGTTTAAAAACTCACATGAAAATTTCATTTACTTACATTATCAAAGCCTACTTACTATTTTTTTCCGTTGCCAAATTTGGAAAGTTACTTAACAATATTTTTACTTTGACTAGCTTGATCAAACTCATGTTGTCTGCGTGATGCGTAGATCAAGAAGAGAGTCCGTAGTAGGAGTGACGAAGACAGGAGACATTAATAGCAGCACCTTTTGTGCTATAAATTTACTCGTAGACAATATGAATTTGGCCAAGCCGTACGCCACTGGATCTTGCACCCCCTTATAAATTAAAAGAACACAAAATGTTCTCTAATGCTAAGTAAAACAAAAAAAATCTGATGTACAGGCCCCTTGAAAATTTTGTTCTTACATTTGGAGGATCCATTATATACATACAAACATGAAAATACTATAATACTCAGTTGAGCAGGGATATACAGTATACAGGGTGTTTCTGAAATAAGTGCGTTCCTGGCAAAGGGTGATAGAGGCACGAAAATGAGCAATTTTTATTAAGCAACTGATAGTCTAAATGTTTCTGTTTTCGAGAAAATTAACTACAACAGTAAACTATAAATGTAAGCCGACCCTGTGCATCTTGTGCACGTGCGTTGTGAGTTGCAGTGTTACTTAGTCGTCGTGTAAAACTAACAGTACCGTGTGGCGTGTAGCACGGGAACAATTATTACACCCCTATCATTTACAAAGGGTTCAGGCATTAAATAATAATATTCAGTCCCATGTGGAAATTTGCCAGTGGTTTTGGCATGCAATAGCACGAGGTTCGGATTTTAGAAGTAAGGTGCTTTTTCCGGATGAATGTTGTTTCACTAGAGACAACACACTAAATTTTTACAATATTCACTGCTGATGTGATGCAAATCCTCACGTTGTACAGAGCTCTCGATTTCAGCAACGGTTTTCAGTGAATGTGCTGTGTGGTGTTTTTGTTGACAGAATTTTGACCGTCGTTTGGAAGCATGTTCATCAGTACATGGAAACAACTTAGAACAATTTTTGTAGAGCATATCGTCTATTGGTAGTTATTCGTTTAATTTTTGTGTTGCTTTTACACCAGATTTGAATAGATTTCAACAATTTCGAACAGAAAATTTAAACCGTCAATACCGCCACAGCGCTTCCGCACTGTGGCGCGCGGCAGCTTCGACATCAAACGGACGGCTGCTTGCCACACATGTGAAAGTTGCTTATTTTCGTGGAACCCGCACCCTTTTCAAAGAGCGCACTTATTTCTGAAACACCCTGTACAAGTATCTGAGAAATTACTTTTAGTAATATCACAAAAATACTTTGTGATATCCATTCAGCAGGATATATCTCAGTAGGCATTAATTCCAGTTTATAGTTAAGTTGGTCCAAATTGTCTTTTCCACTGGTCGATGGGACGCCACCATCTTTTTTTGGACACCCTGTAAGATCCTCCCTTCTATGTTTCTCTTTAATTCTAAAATTGTAACTCAATTTCATTCAATAATTGTTAAGAATAACGTTTCCTGTAAAGCCAATATAAAATTAGGGTAAATTTAGCTATTACTATAATAAATATTGTGTATAAACAGCTTTCTTACACTTCCAGGAACTCACTACACTATACCCCGTTGTATAATACCCTAGTTAACTGATTACCTTTTAGGGGACTAATGCCTTCAAGGCAACACCGCCCTCATATTTGTTTGTGCCTCCGATTTCTAATCATTCTAAAAGAACATCGGCGAATTTATTTCGTTGGTAGGCACACTATGGGAATTTCATTTTATCTACTAAATTTTAAATAATTGGAAGGATCTCCTATTTCCTGCCGGTTTATCAGGCCTAAAAGAAGAGTGGGATTACGAGCATGTATAAAACATTTCCAGTTTTCCCATAAGAAATAACGAGTGGGAGATAATGAGGTGAATAATATGTTTTTATTCTTCCAAGAGGAATATCATGGACATGCTCATGCATTATGAAAGATGAATTCAGAGGTTGGAGGACAGTAGGTACTAGATTTACATCTAGATTTTTTGTCAATGAGTATTAGCCCAGTTACTGTAGCTGAAAATATAGTAATACCTCCGAATTTTTTATAACTGCATCGATTTTTCTCAAAATT